CGGCTCTTCCTGAGTGACCCCCTAATGTGTCACACAGGCTCTCAGGGACAGGTGTTCTGCTCCAGCCTCTGCTGGTAACAGCTCCTATCAGGCCCTGGCCGGTTTGCTCAGCGGTTAGAGCGTCGGCCTGCGGTCCAGAGAGACCCGGGTTTGGTTCCCGCTAAGGGCACGTACCTTGGTTGCAGTTTGTCCCTGGCCCTGGTTGGGTTGTGCGGGTGGCAACCACTCGATGTGTCCCTTTCACGTCAATGTTTCTCTCTCTCTCTCTCTCTCTCTCTCCCTCCCGCTCTATCTTAACAAAAAATAAAAAAATGTCCTCGGGTAAGGATAAAAAAAAAAAAAAAAAAATCTATCAGGTGCACTCTCACTTGGGGGCTTGGGGAGAAGGCCAGTGTCACCCACAGCCCAGCAGAAACTGAACGTGTACTTTTAATGAGACTACTGTTGATTTTATAGTTGATATATTCGTTTCCTGAAGCTTCTATAACAAAATACCACAAGTGGGGGACTTAAAACGATACTCTCACAGCTCTGGAGGCCAGAAGTGCAAAGTCACGGTGTCAGCACGGCGTGCTCCTTCTGGTCCCCAGGAGGTCACCTCCTTGCCTCTGCCAGCCTCTGGTGGCCCCAGGTGTTCCTTGGCTTGTGGGAGCATCACCCTGGCCTCTGCCTCTGCTGGCACGTGGCTTGCCTCTTATCTTCCCTCTGTGTCTGTGTGCCTCAGTTCCTTCTTCTCTTCCAGTCATATTGGATCAGGGCCAGATCTACTCCAGCATGAACACATCTTAACCAGTTACCTCTGCAACAGCCCTATTTCCAAATAAGATCACATTGTGAGTGGGATAGTACTTCAATATATTTTGGGGTTGGGGGACATTCTACCCCTAACAGTTAAGAACAATTTACAACTACTGCATAGGCCCAGACCTGTCCCGAGAGCTCCTTGCTGAGCCTACTTCCTCTCTCCTGCGTGGCTTACATCCATGGACGTAGGGCCGGCTCTCTCCAGTTCCTCTTTCTGGGAGCGCTCCATGCAACTCCATACCTCAGGGTTCAGGCCGGACATGGCTTCAGAGAGAAGCTTGCTTTCATCCCGGTGTAAGTCGAGGACTCGCCTTCCCCAGGTTGGCCTCATGCTAGGATGCTGAGGGCAGAGCTCGTCAAGGCCCATGGCCCCATCCACAAGAGCAGGACCTGTCCCCTTGACTCCAAGATAGCCACACAATGAAATGACCTTGGCACATTCTCCTAATCTGCATCATTCGACTTGAACAATACCTTATGTGACATATAACAGGTCCATCTGATTCGGCTTACGCGAAGGATAAGAGGAGTCTGGTTCTTCTCCACTCCTCCATCATATATCTAAAAAACAAAATGCAGCCCTGGCTAGTCTGGCTCAGTGGTTGGAGCATCGGCCTGCGGACCAGGGAGTCCCGGGTTCTGTTCCCGCTAGAGGCATGTACCAAAAAAAAAAAACGAAATGCCTTCATGTCTCCTGCTCTCATTGAGGGTCACTCACATGTCAAAAGGTAAAATAATTTCACAAGTGTCCTTTTAGTAAAAACAAGCATAGCAGCAGTTTTCACTCTTTTCTTAGTCTAATCCAATGATAGAAAAAAAGTTTTATATGTTACCCCTGGATATTAAAAGAATATCTGTTGGAACTAGAAGTCAGATGCCATTGGACTTGTTAATGCTCACAGAAAGTTAATGATCCCATGATGGTGGACAGTTCAAACTTCAGATAACTGCCATTAACGACCTCCCCCACCAATGCCAGCAGTTCAGACCAGCAGGGACTTACCTGGCTGATCTACAGGTTTAGCCTGAGCCCTTCATTCAAGAGATGATGGCAATGGCTGGACCAATCATGTCCTCTCTCTGGGACTGAAATGGAAGAGTTCTCAGTTCCCAGGGAAACAAAACACAGTGGAAGGCCAGTGAGAGAAGGCAGAGGCCACAAGACAGGGCAGTCCTGAGTAGGAACCTGGAGAGAAGCTGACTGGGTGACAGAAGTTCCAGCTGCTCAAAAGGTTAGTGAGTGACCTCAATCAGCAGAACAATTCTGCATCTTAAAGCAAGTCCCTTTCTCCCACCCATGCTCCTAAAAGGTCAGTTATTTCTGTGTGCGTTCATTCCATCAATCCCAATTATTTGAGGTAATCGGAGTCACTTCGTAAACCAAATTCTCCCCACTCTGGAATAAAGAAATCTTCGAAACACCTGGGCCTGGCTGCCCTTAACGGGCTTTAAGGCAACTGGGAGGTTTCTTGGACGATTTGTCCTCTAGAACTGTACTTCCCCGGCTGGACTCCTAACACTCCCAGGTTAGGGCAGCGCTTTCAAACTTTTTGAGGCAACCAGAGTAAGAGATACATTTTACAATGGAACTCAGTACACAATACATACAAGGGTGGGCAAAAGTACATTTACGGCTGTTTGTTGCGTACACAAAACAGAGTTTTTTGTTTTTTTTTTCATCCTCACCAGAGGACATTCTTGCATTTATCTTCAGATAGAGCAGGAGAGAAGGGGGAAGAGAGAAAGAGAAACATCCATGTGAGAGAGACACATTGAGTGGTTGCCACCCACACCTCAATCGGGGTGGGGACAAACTGCAACCAAGGTAAGTGCCCTTTTCTTTTTTTTTTTTTTTTCATCCTCACCCGGGGACATTTTTCCATTTTTTTGTTCAGACAGAGTGGGGGAGAGAGAGAGAGAGAAACATCGACGTGAAAGGGACACATCGAGTGGCTGCCACCCGCACAGCCAACCAGGGCCGGGGACAAACTGCAACCGAGGTACGCGCCCTTAGCAGGAACCGAACCAGGATCTCTCTGGACTGCAGGCCGACACTCTAACCGCTGAGCCAAACCGGCCAGGGAACGAAGTTTATTCTTGTATAATTATTTATTTATGTGTAATGAAGGCTGGCCATTGGAGCACTTACGAGATTGTACCTGAGTGCACTGTGCCATTGCGACATTCTTTTGAGTTAATAAATCTATTGTAAAAATCATAACCTGAATGTCTTTTTCCATGCAAACAACTATAAACCTACTTTTGCCCACCCTTTTATGCGTATACCACATCTGTAACTATACAACACACAACAAAAGTGTCATGAGACAATACTTAATCTTACTGTGAGCAACATACTATTTTCTCCATTCTGTTCTATTTAAAAAAAAAAAAGGTTAACACCTATTAAGCTGATTTCACAGCCCACCAGGGGGTCTAGTACCATCAGTTCAAAATATTGTGGTAGGGGGGCACCCAAATCCCCAAGATAAAAATGATACATTTTCCCTGAGCGTCCATTTTGAAACAAAAGTTTTCAAAAAGTTCAACTAATTAGAGAGTAAAATGCACACATCCGGTAAGATAAAGCACAGAACTCCAAAGGTGTTTTTCACCGCCTGGGGCTTCGATCTGTAGCCCCTTAAGGGGAGAATGTGCACTCCCCCTCTCCCAGGGGTGCTTGGGCGGGACCCTGACAGCATTCTGCCTTAACACCGGTGTTCTAACCCAACAAGGCCTATTTCTGGGACGGTCACCTCTAATTCTTCATACCCAGAAATCCGATCCTGTCGCTCAGGCTTTTCTAAGGGCTCCTTCTGTGTGCTCCCTGGGAAAGGCGAAAGGCCGTGACCAGCAAGCGGGCGACCCACTTCAGCAGGGCAACACTGTCAAACAGCCTGAAGACAACAGGGGCATTCGCAGGAGTAGCGGGGTATCTGCTTTTTTTTTTTTTTTTTTTTTTTAGCAACCACCAAGGGCAACCACGATGGAAGTCCGTCGGGTTGGCAATCTCCCGCTCGCTGCCTCATTTCTCAGGCCTGCCTTTCCCTCGCATGGCCCATGACCGAGGCCCCCCCAGGCTGGCTTCCCTTCCTGCACTCGATGCTGGTGTCACCCCCGCAGCGCTTCCCCGGCCCCGGGGGAGTGCGCGCCGTCTGTGGAAGACGGAGCAGTGCCTGGGAGGTCAGCCCCCGCCGGAGGGCGAGCCCGGCGGACTCCGACCCCCTCTGGAAGGGCGGTTCTAGACTGTCCTCAGCCAACAACTCCTGGTGCTGAAGTCTGTCCACGGAGCCGGCCACGCGCGGGCTGCGAGACGCGCTCACCAGCGAGGTGTGCGGGGCTCCGCGCGTCGCAAGGGTTCAGACGAGAACCGACGGGGCGCACGCTGCTTGAACGAAGCGCAAAGCGTTTGGGGATGAACGCGTTTTGTTCTCCCCACGGTCCTTCGCCGCGGACGCCTTTTAATCACCGACGACGTCCTCGAATCCAGACTTAGTAACACCAGTACAGCCAGGCGGCTACAAAAAGGAGAAGCCAGGAAACCCAAAAGCCAGCAGGTAACCACCACGCGCCTCGCGCCTTTTAAGGGCTCCGCGGGAGCCCGTCTGCCAATCTCTCGGCGTGGCGCCAGGGACCGCGCCTGCCACCGCTTGCCCCGCCCCTCGCCTTGCTCTAACCAATCACTGAGAAACTAGCTGCTTTTTTTTTTTTTTTCCCCCCTGCTCCCTCGTCCCCGCTCCCCCCCACCCCCCACCGTGCGTAATCAAAGCCTTCAAACCTCCCTGGCGCGCAACTGCGTGCTCGCAGCCGGATTTTATTTTTAGAATTCGGACGCGCAGCCCCGCCCGGAGGCTCAGTCTCCTCGCCGCCCCCAATGGGAGACGGAGTTTCCGTCGCGTCATCGCGCGGGCGGGCGGGAACTGTCCAATCAGCGCTCTGGGAGAACTGGCGTAATTAAAAAGCGGCGGAAGACGGTGGGAGGGTCATGACGCAGCGAGTTTCAGTAGTGACTTTTCCCGAGGCTTCTCGGCGGCCCCGCTTCTCCCCTTTAAAGTGAAACGTCGTCCGGCCCACCCCCGGGCGTTCCGGGGGCGGCAGCGGCCGCCGCGGCGGGGAGGGCGGCGCTGACGCGGGCCGAGGGGGGCCGGCGGCGGCGCGCGGTCACGTGGGCGTGTTTGGGGGCGGGGCCGCGCGGCGGTTCCGGGCGGTTGGGCGCGCGAGCGAGGAGCGGAGGCAGCCGCGCCCGCCCGCCCCGCCCCTGGATGCCGCTCTGCCCCGGCGCGGCCGCCGATCGCAGCACAGGAGCCGCCGCCGCCGCCGCGGTTGATGTGGTTGGCCTGGGGCTGAGGAGGCCGCCAAGATGCCGCAGTCCAAGTCCCGGAAGATCGCGATTCTGGGCTACCGGTCTGTGGGTGAGTGGCGGGCGCCGCGCGGCCTCCCAGCGCCCCGGCCCGGCCTCGCCTGGGCGCCGGGACTCGGCGGGCCGAGCCAAGTTTGGGGCCGGCGCGGCCATGTGGCGGCGGCGCGTTTCGTAACCAGCCGCCCGCCGCCGCCATATCCGTTTTGAGCGCAGGCGGCGGCGAGGCCGGGCCCCGCGGGGCGGCCGGGCGCGGGGAAGGCGAGTCGGGGAGGCCGCGGGCGGCGGGGGAGCCGGGCTCGGCCGGGCCCGGGGGGGCGCTGGAGGGGCCCGCTGCCCTGCCCGGACTGCCGCAGGCGCCCCGGGGGCAGGAAGCGCACCTGTCTCCCCGCCGGCGCGCGGCGCGCTGTCGCGATCGCTGCTCGCAGCCCGTGCGCCCCAAATTCCACCGGGTCGGGGGGGTTTAACAAAGGGAGCAGGCAGCTCGCGTTTTCTCTGTCTGTGCTGAAGTTGAGCCTCGCAGAGAAAACCGGGGACTTCAAGGACGTGCAGCAAGTTTCCTGCCGAAGAAACCTCAACGCGGCCGGCCTGGGAAGCCCCCATGTGCTGCCCGCGACCGACGGGGGGGGCAGGGGGGAATGAATTTCTCATCTCTGGGGTGTCCGATTTTTCTTCCGGAAAAAAAAAAAGAAAAAGAAGAAGAAGAAAGTCAGGTATTTGTACACCAGGCTGTTGAAGTAATGCAAAAGTTTGTTTTGGTGGCCGCCACCCCCAGGAGGTTGACATACATTTGAAACTTACTGGCCAGTCGCCTGTTGGCTGAAGCGGGGTGAACAGGGTGCCCAGAATTTAAATAAATAAAATAAAAAGTGAGAAAACAGAACCGCTGATCCTAAGCACGCTTCGGGGCGAGGCCTTACTGTCGTTGACAAATCAGCCGCCGGGAGAGAGTACGTTTGTCTTGCCGTGTTTGTCCGAGAAGTAACTGTCGAAGGGAAGAAAGTGTGCGCCTGGCCGGAGCGGGAGGGACAGAGGAGGTGAAAGCGAGGGTTGGAGTCTTCCGGTGGCGGCAGGAGCGACGGCCACGGGAAAGCCTGTCGCGGCCCACAGCTCGTTGGAAGCGCTCCCCGACTCCACTTTCTGTTCTGCGCCCTCCCCCCGGCCCCCCCGTTTTCCACCGCCGGTGCCAGGGTCTGTGCTCTTTGACCAGGGTCGGCTCGAGCAGGCTTACTCATCCGTTCACCGTCTCTCGCGTCCAAGTGCTGGCGGGGCATCAAAGGCACCTGTGTAGAGATAGGAGGTGCCAAGTGTCCTGGGGGGAGCTCTCGGGTGCTGCAGGGCCAAGTCATAAGTCTGTGGGGGAGGAATAGGCGACAGCCCTAACAGCTGCTGCCATAACCAGCCGTGCGTCCGAGTGAGGCTTTTCAAGTTCCTGACAGTTAGTTCCATGGGGGGGGGGGGGGGGTGCCGTGGAACCCGGCGCTCAGCCTCCATGGGCAGCCTCGGATCACCCAGCCTTTGCTTGTCTGTTCTGTTTTCCTCCTCCGCATTTTGGAGAGTGGGACTTGGACCTGGCTCTGGGGTGAGCTCTAATCAGATACGCAGTGCCCATTAATTGAAGATAGCAGTCTCTAAATGAATCGGGTTACAGGTGACATGTACCTGGGCTACCTGATTTCAACTCAAAAGGATGTCCCAAAGATCCTGACTTATTTACCCCTTGGAGTTCTTGAGATGGTTGATTCTGGGCTACAGTAGCAAAACTAGTGTTTTGTCACTCAAAATTTTGCTAAAGAAGTTCTGTTGAATTGAAATACTTCTGCTTTGTTTTCCTCCTAATCACCCCTCCTAAAGACCCAGATGTGACAGGTCAGTCCTTAGCCTTCTCTTTACAGACCTTTACTATAAACTGCTGTTTGTTAAACCTTGTTCTAGATAGCCTCCAGTGAGACACAGAGCAAGTTCTAGATCCTATTTTCTGTGCCCTCAATATGTCATATTATTACTATACTCTCCATTTTCTCCATATTTATTTTCAGGAGTAGTGACGATTGAAGTAAAAGTATTAAATTACTCCCAGTCTTTGCATTTGATTTTAAAGTTGTTAACCTTTGTTATGAGCCAGGACACTTTGTAATTTGTGGGGCCTTCTGTTTTGTTTTGCCAGCATCAAAAAGGAAGCAATTCCCTGGCTCCATGTACTAGCCACTCTTCGGAGAATGATTCAGTGTTCAGGTTCCAGGAGTCTGCTGGCACGTTTGCCTGCAGATGGGCCTCTACTGGAGAAGTTTGAGTGTGTGTGTTTCTAGATTGTGTTCTTTTGTGATGTGAAGTTGTGTCATATTGATGAGGTAGAAAAGGACACCACTAAAAATCACACCTTTCTTAGAATAGTCTCTTGATTAAATATCTTGTGCCATTTCGACTAATGAATACTTGTCATGCCTTCAGCTAACATTACTAAATGTTATAATTGTTTTATTATTTGGCTTTCAAATTTTGTGGGTTTTTTTTGTTTTTTTAAACACTGATGAAACTACCAGTAAGGAAGAGACAGCTCTCAGGTAATTTATACAACTCTTTTTTTCCCCTGAAGTACTTTTCCTGTTGTTTACAGAGTTGAACGTTTAAGGACACGTCACCTGTAACGCAGGCTGGCTTTCAGGGAGTGCTTTGTATTCATTGTTTCAGGGGTGGCCAAGTGTCTGAGCTCCCTCACACCATTGTTTCTAGTACAAACAAGTAGTCCCAAGGTAGGAGGTGACTCAACTTGATCGGTTCAAGTTGTAGTGTCGGGTAACTGTCTTCAAATAAAATCTGGTGCGCCCTTCACTGGAATTTCTGCAGAGGCTTTGAAATCTAGTGTACCATCAGAGCACAATCAAAAGGTTGTTTGCTAAATGTAAACCTCTGAGGTTAACAAGGGAGATGAGATCACGGAAATGTGTACAATCATAAGAGAGAAAATGAAACTACTCCGGTTTGATAACAGGCAATTCTGCAAAAGTGACTCCAATTAATACTTTGTCAAATGTTTCAGGTAGCAGGGAAGATGCGTCCTTTGATTTGTATGCTTCATAAGGAAGGATTGACCAACTTTGTTCCAAATAAAATACAAGCCAATTGTGTTCTCATTTACTGTCCAATTCCAAATTATCCTTTTTGGACATATTTGAATGAACAATTTAAAAGTAAAACATTGTTTGCCATGTATAAAACCTATTAGTATGTGAAATTGTATGATCAAGTGCTTAATGACATTTTGAGGTTGTGTGCTTGTTGGGGGTGGTCTATAGTGGTCACCTTGTGTCATTCATTGTTCTGTACAAGAGAATAGCCAGAGCTTGCATTTGTAGTTACGACTTTCCAGTGCTGAATGTTACTTAAATGTCCATGTAAGGTATGCTTATCCACACTTCCATCGCCCCAAAAAGAAACTGTGCCCATTAGCAGTAACTCCCCATTCACCACTCTGCCCCTGGCATCCAGTGATCTATGCTCTGTGTCTATGAATTTACCTATTCTGTGCATTTTATATAAATGGAATCATGCATACTTGGTCTTTTGTGACTGGCATCTTTCATTTCATATAAGTATTTTCAAGGTTCATACATGCTGTAGCATTTATCAGTATTTTATTCCTTTTTTTTTTTTTTTTTGCCAAATAATATTCCATTATTTGAATATCATACATTTTATTTCTACATTCATCAACTGATGGGCATGTGGGTTGTTTCTACATTTTGACTATTATGGATAATGCTGTTATGAACATTCTTGTACAAATTTTCATGTTACACATGTTTTCACTTATTTGGGATATATTTCCTGGAGTGGAATTGCTGGGACGTGTAGTAACTTTATGTTTAACATTTTGAGGAACTGTCCAATTGTTTTCCAAGGCACCTGACCACTTTTACATTCCCATCAACAATTGAAATTGCTTTCAATTCTCCAGGCCCTTGCCAACACTTGTTATTGTCTGTCTGGTTTATTCTAGCCATCCTTATGCGTGCAGAGTGGTATCATATCTGATTTGCAAATAATTTCCATTCTGTGGGTTGTCTTTTCATTTTCTTGGTGGAAGCTTTTGCTTCCTTTGAAGCAAAGTGTTTTAGATTTTAAGTCTCTTTTTTCTATTGTTACTTGTGCTTTGGTATCATATTCTAAGAAACCATTGTTTTATCCCGTGTGTGTGGACTTAATACTGAGTTTTCCCTTAAATGTTTTATACTTTTAGCTCTTACATGTGGGTTTATAATATATTTAGAGTTAATTTTTGCATATGATGGAGATAGGGGTGCAACTTCATTTTTTGCATGTGTATATCAAGTTGTCTCAGCCCCTTTTGTTAAAAGACTATTCTTTCCTCATCGAATTGTCTTGACATCCTTGTCACAAACTTAGTGACAAGAAATGTGAGGGTAAATTTATTTCTGGACTCTGTTCCTATGATCTGTATTCTGTCCAAATGCTAATATCACAGTCTTCATCACTGTATTTTTGTAGTAAGTTTCAAAACAGGGAAGTATGAGTCTTCTAACTTTATTGTTTTCAAGATTGTTTTGGCTCTTCTGAGTCCCTTGCGTTTCCATATGAATTAAAATTCCTGAAGGACTAGCTTGTTCACCCATTGCAGTGGGTGCTGCGATGAAGTGTGTGAAGGGAGCGCAGCCTTGCAGGGGTACACGGCTGGGGAACGGGGAAGTGTGTGCATCGCTTTCTCCGATCATTGTGGATATTCTTTGATACTCAACAAAACTCCATAGGTGGTTGCCTCTTGGAGGTTAGCTGTAGTGTGCAATCTGAAATATGGGTGAATTTTCTGTCGTTACATCAAAGTCTGTTGGTTTGTTTTGCACTTTGAATGGATCTACTGCCTTTGCCTGATTTTGTCACGTTGCACATTGGTCATTTGGAAAATATTGGTCCACTGTTATGTAGATCCTTCCACATTTTGACATATTTCAATATGTAGATATTTTTGAAGTCACATTTTTTTTTATATCAACACCAGTCTCCAAAAAATTTAGATATTGGGAACCTGTTAAGTTC